GAAAATGGCAAGAATTTGCCTCCACTTTCTGCCTGCCAACAGATGTTCAGTCATGAAGCTGCAGCCAATGAAAAATATAGTGTATCTTTTTAGCGCTCTGTGCTAATTAAATGAGTGGAAGATTTGTAGAGAATCCTAAGAATGTTGCAAGGGGGGGTTGAAGGTTCTGAAGCATAAAATGTTGGACAGAATGTGTCATTCATCATTTGGCTGGCGTGCTTCTGATACATGGAACATCAGAGTAAGTTGTGTTTTGCTAATTGGCTGGGGCTAGGCTTGTGATCCAGACAAGAGGGTGGCAGATGTCCCTGCCAAAACAAAACAAAGGAAGTTCTGGAGAAGGTTGGGAAGATGTTCCTTTGGACTTTAAGGAGTGGATGCTTTGATGACTAACAAAGAGTAACATGATCATGCTACTGAAATTTGGTGGGATGGTTGGAGATGCACCCTTTCCCCAGATTCTCATGCAGTGATCTATTTCTTCTTATGTCCTCCAGCCCACCTTTGAAGCAATTGGCATTTAAGGGTCCCTCAATGGCTCTGCTGTAGCAGAACTCTGGGGCATGGAGGGACATTAAAACAGTGCCTCTCCAATCCAGGTTCCTAGGACAGAAGACAACTCTGCTGTCATTGGCTTGCCCTTGGCAGATCAGCATGGTCAATTTTCTCTCAAGCATCTTGATTCTCCAACCATTGCTTCTTGGAGTCTTTAGTCATCCGAGGATTTTCAATACTTCTGCTTCCCCCCACCCGCGCCAAGAGTGGTCTTAGAAGAAAATGGACAGGATGCCCATCTTTTAGTACAAGCTAATAAAAAGTTACTTTTTCTCTATTACTTGACTCCTGAGTAATTGTGTCTCTCTGTTGTGGTCATTTCCTCTCCTTTCCCCACCATTTCCCCTCATTTCAGAGCTAAAACAGCAGGAAGGGTCCCCTATTCTGTGCTTCCCCAATTTATTGGGATAATGACACTCCAGTTTCCCAGCTTGTAAAACCAAGATCTGTTTTCCCTGGGAGGGAAACTGTTGGGGACTACATGAAATTGGTAGCAGTGATCAAAACAACCTTAGGTGCTGGCATCTAGCATCTCTTTCGCTCCCTCCCAGCAAATGTTCCAATGGTTCTTACAAAGGTTTGAATCACTTGGTGGCAAGGATTATTTCAAAGGAAGTCTAAGAGTGGCCAAGATTGAGGGGTGGGCTGGATTAATCCAAAGGCTGTAGGTTGGTGACCTCCTGATCAGCACAGCCCATTTTCAATCCATTTCATTTTGGCTGCCATTTGATGCTGGTTACTAAATTAGCAACTCAACAGCCTGGACTGGCACCAAAGACGATGCCTTGAAAGGAAGCAATGTTTTGTGTGAAC